TAACCACTGTGAACAGCACTATGGAAAACAGAATGGAAATTCATTAAAAATGTAAATAAAGATGAAAATAGAAGTACTGTATGATTCCCTGCTGAGTATTTATCCAAAGGGAATGAAATCACTTTCTCTTGAAGAGATGTCCTCACCTCCTTATTTATTGCAAAATTACTCACAAGAGCCTGGACATGGAAACTGTATCAGTGTCCAGTGATGAGTGAGTGGATAAAGAATTGTATAAAGCTGGAAAAAAGAAAGAAGTAGCTTGTCTCTTCTCTCTGTTAAATGGAATAGATGATAGAGAAGACAAAAAGTTCGAAAAAGTGTAGGAATAGCAGAGCACTAGAAACAAGGAAGTCCTGTGGGGAAAATTTTTCCTCTGAGTAAGTATCATTGTCCAGTACTTTGTGGTGCTTAATGGAAGAAGTTAAACAAATAAATACGTGACTATATGAATATATACATGCATGAATCTTTCCATCCATCCATCCATCCATCCATCCATCCATCCATCCATCCACAGATACATAAAAAGTCTCCATTGGACAGAAGTAGAGGATTATTGTGATAAACTAAACAAAAGCCCCCAGAGATACCCAGGCCCTGAACCTTGGAATCTTGAATGAATGTCAGTGTTACTTACCTTCTACCCAAAAGGGACTTCACAGCTGTGATCAAGGATTTTGAGATTGGACGATTGGCCTGGATTGTCTGAGTGCTAAATATAATTAAAGTGTCTTTATAAGAGGGAGGGAGGGGGAGATTTGTTACAGAAGAGACAGCGATGTGACGATGGAAGCAGAGGCTGGCGTGGTTCTGTCACAGCCAAGGGCTGTGAGCGCCCTCCAGAGGCGGGAGGAAGCAAAGGACGGATGTCCCCTGGAGCCTTCAGAAGGAACCAGCTCTGCCTTGATTTAAGCCTTATCCCTCATTTTGGACTTCTGCCCCGCAGAACTACAGTAACAAATATGTATTGTTTCAAACCACTAAGTTTTTTTTTTTTAATGTAATTTATGGCAGTAGCAGTAGGAAACTGAGACAATAATCTTTCCAAATATTAAAACTTTCAAAGGTGCAGAATCAGAGACTAAATAAATATGACTGCAACTTAATAAATTGACTAATCTCTTATCCAAAGAGAGGGGACAAGAATATCACAAGAAAATCAGAAAATTTGCATAAAGCAACAAGAGAAGTGTCTTCTCCTGTTCAGGCCGGGGCATAAGGACTTTCAAAGCAGCTCTCCCTTACTGAGTCTGACCTCTCTAGGAAAATCATGGGGAAATGGAAAGTGGTTATTGTGTGGATGCCTCTGGAGCTCTACCTTCATCGTAGGACAGGAAAGAGGTTATCGCTTACTAGAGGAGAGACTTTACGCTGTTTTAGAAAACCAGCAGAGGTAAGCCTATTTTCTCTCTCCAGTTTCAATCATTTCTCACCATTCTGTGGGCTGACTGTGTGAGCCTTCTGCCAGTCTCCCTTGGGCTCATCTTGCGACCACAATCCATTGGGAGCTCTGGTGGGGCTAAAACTTCTGAAATGATGTCACCCCTCTGTTAGGAGATCTGGTCCTGGCTGTTGGGTGGGGTGTCTCAGCGTTTTCCCATGGAATCTCTCACCCACTGGGAGGCTACAGTGGATTCCTTACCTGGGGACCTCAGAGCAGTGTTTGAAGAGACTGAAAGTAGAAACTGTAAGACACCTTGGTGCCCCTACTCCCTAACCAGTTAACATCATCCCACCATGTTTTCCTGATCAGACAAGTCACAGTCCCGTCTTAATGGGCTCATCACTGTGTTCTCCTACGGAAGCATCGTTCTTCTAACTCCTTGGCCTCACGGTTTCACTTATGGGAAGTTAGAGAAGTCAATTTGCTAGTATTTTGTTGAGGATTTTTGTATTGTATTCGTAAGTGATATTGACTGTAATTTTCTTTTTTGTGATATTTTTGTCAGGTTTTGGTATCAGAGTGATGGTGGCCTCATAAAATGAGTTTGCAAGTATTACTTCCTCTTTAATATTTTTGGAATAATTTCAGAAAGATAGATGTTAACTCTTCTCAAAATGTTTGGTAGAATTCACCTGTGAAGCCATTTCTGCAAAGAAGACATCCAGATGGACAACGGGAATGTGAGAAGATACTCAATATTGCTAATTATTATTAGCAATGCAAGTCAAAAATACAATGAGGTATCACCTCATACGAGTCAGAATGGCCATCATTAAAAAGTCTACAAATAAATGTCAGAGAGGGTGTAGAGAAAAAGGATCCATCCTACACTATTGGTGGGAATTTAAATTGGTGCAGCCACTATGGAGGACAGTACAGATGTTATTTAATAAAACTAAAAATAGACTTCCATATGATCCAGCAATCCCACTCCTGGACATATATCTGGAGAAAACTATAATTCAAAAAAGACACATGCACCCCAGTGTTTCAGTAGCCCCAGTGTTATAATAGCCAAATATGGAAACAACCTAAATGTCCATTGACAAATGAATGGATAAAGAAGTTATGTGTATATGTGTGTGTGTGTGTGTGTGTGTAATAGAATATTACTCAGCCATAAAAATAATCCTGTTTGCAGCAACATGGATGGACCTAAAGATTATCATTAATTGAAGTAAGTCAGACAGAAAAAGATTAATATCATATGTTGTTGCTTATTAAGTGGAATCTAAAAAAAAGGAAAGAAAAGATACAAATTCAAATTATTTTGACAAACCAGAAATAGACTCACAGACATAGAAAACAAACTGTAGTTACTGGGGGGAAAGAAGAGGAGGGACAGAGTAGGAGTCTGGGATGAATAGATACACATTACCATATACAGAATAGATAAACCATAAGGACCTACTGTATAGCACAGGGAATTATATTCAATTTCTTGTAATGAGCTGTAATGGAAAAGAATTTGAAATATATATATATATATACATATATGCGTATATATATGTGCATATATATGGCTGAATTGCTTTGTTGTACACCTGAAACTAACATTGCAACTCAACTGCACTTCAGTAAAAAATGATAATTAAAAAAATAAAATAAAAAAGGAAGGCAGAAATTGCTCCAGGGCAGAGAAAAGCATTTTGGGCCTTTCGAATAAATTTCAAAACACTCTTGAGTTAAAAAATGTTGTTAATAAAATAACCTCAGTTAAAAAACCAAGTAAAAGAAAGTTTTAAAATATTCCCATTGTTTAAAAAATGTACTATTAACTCAGCCATGTTTTTTGTGAGTACTTTACTTTAAACTTTGGGTTCTTCAGTCAATTTTAGGTTAAGATTCTCTCTTACCTTTCAGAGTGCTGGTTTCCTAACACAAAGACAAAACTTTATGATTCCAGAGATAGGGACTAAGAAAGTACACAGGTAGCACATTTTAGGAAACCACATTAACAGAATATCCTTTCTTTGCATATTTTCATAATTAGCAAATAATATTTTTTCAATTGGGTAAAATTGTAATACACTTAGAAATGCATCCTTCCCCCCTCAAAAAAAAAAAAAAAACCCCAAAACCAGAGACTAAGTGTTCCGGTTAGCACACTTTTCTGGGTTATCTTTGCCTTTTGTTATCAGTGAAGTATTCTACAAAAAACAAAAAACCAAACAAACAAAACCCTCTAAAATTTTCTGTAAATGAGACAGGATTTTAAAATGCTGCCTCCCTTAGTTTTATTTTAGTTTTATTAATTTGAGAGGACTTTTTAATTATGGGCAAGTAAATCCTGTTAGTCAGTTACAAGCCCCAATTTTTCTGTGTAATTTCAAGAACATTCCAGTCATTAAAAATGCTGCAAGAGACTTGCCATTTGCCTTAATTGCCTGTCTTGTTGTTTGTGAGGAGTGAGATGCTAGTGAGTCCCCAGAGTTCGGGTCCCCAGGGTTACCAAGCGAGATGTAAGAACCTTGGCGTCCCAGTAACACTCAGCTTGCAGAGAAGCAGGGTGGGGTGGTGACCTGTTTCTCTGTAGCAGGTAAGACTTTCAGGGTGTTTATGAAAGGGTAAAAATACTATTTTCTTGAAATGGTACCTGGGGCATTCATTTACTTTTCTTTTTATGATAACTCACTGTAAATGATATACAAGTCTGAGTTCAATTATATTAAAGAAAGAAGTTAACAATCATGCACAGATTTGACTTCGAGACCATTGACAACTATCTTACAAAGAGTGGAGTAAATTTATTACCTGGAAATGGATATTTATACATATTTCTTTATATGCACCTTAAATTGGTATATAAACTATCACAAGAGTGAGACCTAGTTAATTCCGAGGGAACTCTTACCTGATAAATCCTGAGACCCTTAAGAGGTAGCAATACAATGTCTAGGACTGCATTAAAAGCTAAGCTGCAGGCTAAAAATCCTGATAAAGTGTACACTCCGTTCAGAACTCAAAGCGAGCCATTGTCTTCCTCGACAGCTAAACAAGTCCATGAGGGAAGCAGCCTTTACTGAACAAAAGGTGTTAAAATGGGGTTGCTATGCTCTGTTCTTAGATTTCTGTAGTGATTTACTTTATTCTTGAAAAAGACATATATTCTGGTAAAGACTTTACTTGATTTCTGTTCACAGACAAAAAATACAGTAGCAATATATGTGGTTCTTTGCAGCAAACATTTTCCATATTTTTTAGACTCTTTCAGTAGTTTATGCACTTACGTGCAAGCATTTTCTAACAGTTATGTGCATATTACACCACTCGCTAATGAGTGGATGTATACACTACAAGTGTCTCATTTGGAAATGCGAATGGCGATGGAAATGCAAAGACATTTCAGAGACTCAGCTTGGTGGGGCACGTCCACACCTGTCCTCTGTATGAGGCATGTTCTCTGTGGAAGAAGTCAGGACCAATAACTCTTCTGATTTTCTTTTGTCCACCATAGAAGGTCATGCGGTGCCTGTCACTCATTCTCCAAAATCTTCTTTTTGTAAAGGGCAAGTCCCTTCTCCCAGCCCCTCTCTTCGAAGGCACTGTGGTGATGGCTGCAAGAAACCTGAGTGTGAAGACGACCTTTGCCCTCTTGGGTTTCACAGATTACCCAGAGCTTCAAGTTCCTCTCTTCCTTGTGTTTCTGATCATGTACGTGATCACGGTGGTAGGGAACCTCGGGATGATATTAATCATCAAAATTCACCCCAGATTTCACACCCCCATGTACTTTTTCCTTAGTCACCTTTCGTTGGTGGATTTTTGCTACTCCTCCATTGTGACTCCCAAGTTGCTTGAGAACTTGGTCGTGGCTGATAAGAGCATCTCCTACTCCAGCTGCATGCTGCAGTACTTCCTGTCCTGCTCGGCCGTGGTGACTGAGTCCTTCCTGCTGGCGGTGATGGCCTATGACCGCTTTGTGGCTGTCTGTAATCCTCTGCTCTACACAGTGGCCATGTCACCGAGGCTCTGTGCCCTGCTGGTGGCGGGGTCATATCTCTGGGGTATGTTTGGCCCCCTGGTACTCCTTTGCTATGCTCTCCAACTAAACTTTTCTGGACATAATGTAATCAACCACTTTTTCTGTGAATACACGGCTCTCATCGCTGTCTCGAGTTCAGATATCCACGTCCCCCACCTGCTGCTCTTTGGCTTCGCCACCTTCAATGAGGTGAGCACACTCCTGATCATCCTCACTTCCTACATCTTTATTTTTGTCACAGTGCTGAACGTCCATTCTGCCAGTGGGCGTCACAAAGCCTTCTCCACCTGTGCCTCCCACCTGACCGCCATCACCATCTTCCACGGGACCATCCTTTCCCTCTACTGCATCCCCAACTCGAAAAATTCTCGGCAGACTGTCAAGGTGGCCTCTGTCTTTTACACAGTGGTCAACCCCATGCTGAACCCTCTGATCTACAGCCTGAGGAATAAAGATGTGAAGGATGCCTTCTGGAAATTAGTAGACACAAAAGTCTCACTTCACTGAACCAATATCAAAAGATGTCTCCAATCTCAATGAACAATGGGCTCAGAGACTTCTAAAACGGTAACGAATATTTTCATAAGGTTTTTATAGATGACTGTGATGTTAATCTGTTGTGAATTGGTAAGCTCAAATCCCTTGAAAAAGAACAAGAAGTTCATTCTGGGATGAATTCCACGGGACTTTATCCACAAAGCATCTATTTCTTCAAATGCTCTAAAAACAAACACATGAAATACTACAAAGCACACCAGAAGTTTCAATGTGGGGAATGTATTTGTTGAGAGAATGATGGTAACTCAGCAGAGAGAAAGCCTTTCTGGTTTGTTGCTGCAGATGGCACTGTATAACTTGCCTTTAAAGCTACTCATGCTGTATGTCACTGAAGCATTGTGTCATTGCTGGGAAATACAGATGGCTATCAAAAATGAGGGGTGATTTTTTTCTGGCACCTTCATCCCTTGGGTTCTGTGAATTCTATAAATGGACAGTCTTCTACTTCAAACAATCAAATTATGTGGAGACGTACAAAAAACAAGGACATTTATACCAATTGTGTAGATGATGTGGAGATTAAAGAAACCAGTCTAGAAATGACTGAAATGAGACAAGAACTCATCCTGTTGACTCTAAGTCTAGTGCCTTTTCATGATGGTACCTCTAGGTCACAGAAACTTGTTTTGTCCTTCAGAAAGGACACTCACTGTGGTCATTTTAATATGCCTAGACATGTTTGGATATTATTACTCAAAAGGCTGCATTCCCAGTATTACCAGGTCTGGAAATCTCTACAGGCATTATCTAATCTAGTTCCTATAGTATTAGAACTAGTACAAATATAATACACATTTTATTTGCAAATATTGAGAAATTGTATTTCAGATTTTCTGTTCTAATATTTGTATGAATGACTAAACAAGAACAAATATCCAGTAACAAACATCCTAAAAATTAAAGCAAACTGTAGTAGGAAGACTAACCCTATATAATTTAAAATATATTTTAAAGACCTTATTATTAAAACAATGTCATATTTGGACAAATAGGTAACCATACTAGAAAATGATAAAATTTGATCTCACTTTATTTCCCACACCAAAAGAGAGTTCTAAATACCAGTTTAAAACTAACATTGCATGATTCTATAAAACTTCTTGGCAAAATAACAGAAAATGAGTAATATTTCAAATAAAAAGCTGAAAACAAAGTTACCACGTTTATCACATATAGAAGAGGAGAAAATGACAATCCTCTAGAAAAAGCTGACATAATTAACAGCTCTTATAAAAGAAAAACAAACAGCCCTTAAACATTTGAAGAATTGTTCACCCTGACTTATAATAATAGAAATACAAATGGAAACTGCCTTGAGCTCTCATTCCTCACCTACCAGAACAGCAAAATCCCTGCAAGTGAAGATGCGGAGAAACAGACATTTTGATACATTGGAGGCAGGAAGGTAACATGTTACCTGTAATTTGAATTACTAGCAACAATTCATGTGCCCTTATCCTTTTTAAAGCATTCATAGACCTGAAAGTATGCAGTCGTAAAAACAGAAAGGGGAAGCTTTCTCTATATTGCTATGGAGAGAGTTCTAGAACATAATCTTCCATGAAGAAAGACAAGATATAGAAGAGATTTTATAATATAATAAACTGTGTGAAATAAGAGAAGGTAAAACAAAAACTCATAAAAGAAGAAAGAGATGAAAGAAAACTTCTAGAAATGAACTTTGTAGTATAGCATTGCTTTGGGGGAAAAGTAATATTTTACACAGTTTAAATGACCTAACTTTATATCAGAAAGTGTAACAAAGATATCCAAAAAATTAAAAACAGATAAAAAGAAATGAATCCATTCATAATGTTGGAAACATGGTCAAAAAGAGTGAAACACTTTCTATAAAGGACTTGAAACACAGCATTTTGAGTATACCACATATTGCAATGCTACTTTAGTATAAAGTAAATAATTATTGAAATTTTATTGAAACTAAAGTTAACAACATGGAGAAGAATTACAGCTCTAACAGGAGCAAATAAAAATGTTCAATTTTAATTCAAAATTCAATTTGAAACATTTTTCCTTTTAAATCAAATACCCACTAATGAAGGTAACTCAGTTGCAGTAAACACTGCTAGTCCCAAAACTTGAAATGGCTACCCACTAGCTTATGATGAACATAAAAATGAGTATTGACTGAAATTAATTTAAAGTCATCAAATATGTTTAAGTCAAATATGTCTAAATACTAAAAAAAAAAAACCATTGGTTACTATTAAATGTTGCTGAGGATATCATTATGTGGAATATTGGTAAATAAATGAGATAAATAGTTATTCTGTCTTTCCTCAGTGAATTGTATTTCAGGGTTACCCAACAGTTCAGGAGAAATTCAGAAGTAAAATCAGAAGGTATTAAAAACATTAAGTGAAAGTTGGTGGGAAATGCTAAAATGAAGTAATCCCGCTGACAGTGCCTGAATCCACAGATCAGACTGAGCATCACGGAAAGCCGGACACCAGGGAGCACACAGCCTACACCTGCTGCGGCTGGCGGTCATGAGGACCACGTAGGAAGACTCCTCGCCTCGCGGAAACTAAGGGAGTGAATCTGAACTATAAAGCTTCTTGATGTGATCATCAGTTTAAAGAACTGATGTAGGAACAAGTCAAATGACCCCAAATAAAGCAAAAAGCCAAATGCAGACTATGAACCATTCTACAAATGATCCAATTTCTCCAAAAAATTACCTAAACACACATATATGTACACACACACAAACACACAAAAGGAGCTATTACACAATATATGGACCATGTTATATAACACTGGAACTGTTACATACTAAAGGAAACCTAGTTACAACCACCAAATTTGTTTGAATCTTGATTCAAATTAACTGTAAAAATATATCTTGAAGACACTTGTGGAAGTTTAAAGAGATTTGGTCTGAGTTTATATTAAGACTACGGTATTATTTTTGTTAGGCGCAATTTTGGTACAGGTGTTTAATTAAATGTCTACTTTGCTGATGGTTATTCTTTTTACAAATCACTATTAATGACTTAGTTGTCTTAGAAGTGGGTTAAAACAGAAATATAATATCCTACAAATATGATAATGTTTGAAATGACTCCAGTTTATAGAAGTGGAAGCCAGGGGCTCACTGTTCCGGGAATGCCCTGACTCTTCAGGACAAGGAATGATCTACATAGTCTCATAGTTCAAGCTTCACACAGGAATGTTTGGCCAAAAAATACATTTGGGACAGGAAAAAAGACAGTGTAACAAGCAGTTCTTACAGTGACGTGTTTAGAAGCTTATAGTGTTGGTTTAAGTACTTTTTATTTCTTTGAAAATCTTCAGAAGACTTAAAATTTTTAAATTACATTGACCATTTTTTTTGTTTTATCATCCAAATTATTTCCACAGAGCTGAAATTATTCAACAAAAATTTATTAATGGAAGTATACTGGGAAAGTACTTGTGTTGTCACTTATTGTGTTATTGATCTAAGGAAAACCAACCTACTGGCATAAATACATCTTTAAAGGACACCTGTAGATACACTCGGATAAGTTTTATTATGTTTTTCCTTGTCATAAATAATGTCACTATGAAAAATTCATTTTATACATGTTTTCCATAGGGGATTTAGAAAGCCTAGAACAATATCATAAACCGCAGAATTGTTGAGATGCATTTAAAAAGCTGACCGTCTAAAAACAAGTTGTATTTGCTCAAAAGTTCCCTTTGCTCACACTCAACATTTTTTCCCATATACTTGCTCCCTCACTTCATAAAGGTCCATGCTCAAAAAGCACCTCGCGGTAGACTGGTCTGAACTCCTTATTTAAAATGACGCCTTTAATTATATTTATTTCAGCATTTAGAAGCACTGGAAAATGACAAAATATACATTTGTGTTTTGCATTCCCCATTCAATATAAATTGTTGCCACAGGGACATTCTTTTTCCCACAGTACCCAAGCTAGTAACTAGCTCAGGGTAAGCCTATAATAAAAAAATAAATGAAAAAAAAAATGAATGAGTAATGACATATCCTCATTCTGTACTCAGTTTCTGTATTGCTCATCATATAGCAATTAAGCTATATGCATATATATTCTTCTGCTTAGAGGAACCTCGATAAAAACAATGAAATTTAAGAGCTAAAAAAATTGAACATATTGTTAATTTCATTACACCTTTCCAAAACAGTATTATTCTGAACTGGTATTATTTTATGTGGTGTAAACACAGTGCATAAAAAACTTACAACTTCATATTGATAGTATTCAATTTATAGATAAAGACCACGACATCAATTTCAATACAATTTTTATATTTAAATCAACTATGAAAACCCCTGCCATGTCTTTAAGCCTAAGGTAAACAGATAAGCACAGCAGCTTTCCTGTGAGGGTGTCTCCCAGATGATATTAAGGGTCACTGTCAATGATGACCTTCATAGACGTTTCCTTAGTTTTTCTGTCATGAATTTCCCTCCTTCAGAGGGCTGCATTTTGTGACAGCAGGTTCAAGGTGTACTAAAAACAACAGCAATGAGAACAAAACAGATGCTAAACAAACATCACCTTCACTCTCCTAACATCTGATTTCAAAACATCACTATGTCGACTAAAACATGTCTAATGCCATCATTTTTCCCTGAAAAAATATATGCCAGAAAGAAATAAGAGGTCCTACCACAGGTTTGAAAAGTCTTGATAAAAGCAACGTTTAGACTTCATGGAGAGCAAAATTTCACAGTGTTCTTTTTTTCAATGTTTTTTATTGAAGTCTAGTTGACTGTCATATGGTATCACTTACATGTAGAATCTAAGAAGTGAGCCAAATGAACTTGTTTACGAAACATAAGCAGACTTACAGAGCAAACACACTCATGGGGGACAGTGTATTTATGCCTTAGGTTTTGGAGACTTGCTTTTGCTATTCTCATTGGGGTAATTCCCAGAGTAATTTGTGAATGAATA